TAGTATTATCGTTGTAGCTTGGATCTAGAAAAGGATTATAAGCGGCAAAGTTCTATGCGAGGTTCTGAATCTGCTTTTTTCAGCCGCGAGTACCGGTAACAACAAGTTCGGTCATCTTCCATCGCTGGTATGCCTACCGAGACGAAAGGACGAGTAGCTCGAGTTCCGATAGTGGGGTGGCCAGTCTACAGTTCAGCCCTCCAAATCTGCTAGCAGTAGGTCAGAAAAATTCCAAAAAAAACATATGTGTACTGATCAACGGATTACTGTAAAGCCTTCACACCATTTTTGTTCAGGTACACCGATAAGTTCGACTGTGATGGCATTGTCACCACCTGGTCTATCTCCTCTTCACGTTCAAGACTCAGCATTTTCCACTCCAACTCCATCAAGCAGTAGCGTTAACACTAGTCGATTCACTTTCGATCACATACCATACCGCAAAGAATCTGAAAGTATGTTTACATATTCAACCCTTCATTTATCAACGAATCTCGAAAGGTACACATTTCAGCTCAGAGCGGATGCGCAGAAATCACTAGCGCCTTCGATCTCCCTTCCTCATCTGGGAAAGATCCAGAAAAACTGAAAGATGTTTTGAAAACAGTAAGACAGCGGGACGACTTAAGAGCTCACCCTGTTTTACAGAGGAAAGAATCTGTAATTCAGTCAACTCGACAACCTGAGGTAAGTCTGTTAGTTTTTGGATCGCTAGCTAGAGATTAACACAAGACTTGGCATAGGCAGAACCATCCGGAGTTTTGAAACCATAAGCTAATTTTGACTATAAGACTCGTAAAAGTCAATTTCGAGTTTAGGATCCAAAAAACGTTCGGTACTTAATAGAGATTACATTGCTCAATCACATTTACATCATAATGCAGTCATTCTGGCCTGTATAATGGCTTCTACTGATTAGATTAGAAAGATCAAAAGGAGTAAAATTGAAGGAGTCACGAGTAAACAGGAAAGTCAGAAATAAAGCAACTTCAGCAATTTTAGCCTTGGCGTCCATTGCTGTTCGATCGGGGTAGCTTTCATATCTTTTCGGAATTTTCAAAAGCTTAGTATAAGTTTGGGAGCATCAGCATTGGTAGACGTCAAAACAAAATTTCATTTGGAAATTACGAAGTTGATATTTTGAGGGGGGGGGGAGACACTTGTAATTCTGTTTTTTGTTTTTTATAGAAATTCTCAAGCTTGCGTGAACATGTTTGCGCATGAAAATATTTAATCTGTCATGTCGTTCTATACTCCAAATATGTTTGATCACGTATATACGTGCATTAAACTTGTAAAATACTGATTTTTGTGCGGATCCTCAGCTTGGCATGTGCCATTCGTCACTATGTCTGCTCTTGATGTAATCATAGATTTACTGCAGAAACTTGTCGAACGTACGGAGTCACTGCCAATTCCACAAAAGTTCTCCAACCAACTCAGTGTATCCGTACCGAACACTCCACTGGACAAGGTTTACGCTGGAAATGCTTTCAATGTAAGTTCAGTGCTCTATACTATGCAAGATTGATTTTCTCATAAAAGCAAAATATTATTTGAAAGCGTCGTCCACTCATATTTAGAGTAGGTGAGATTTTGATGTGGTACAGCGAGGGCGAGGCAACTAGGTCTATAATTGCTCAAGTTCAAAACGTTCCGAAGCAAGAAACACTTTTCGTAGGCGTATGCTGCTGGGGTCGCCACGCCCATCAGTAAGTAGTCTAATGTCACTAAGTCCGAAACTGGAGTCCAAGTGCCTAGATGTCAAAAATGAAGGCGAATTTTTCCAGTTTGGGTGTTGCTACTGTTGAGTCTAATTTCAGTGGGCGTGGCGACCCCGGATTCCACCTTCTTAAGCTTGAGCTTCCTCTTTTCGGAGTAGGCTTTTGCAGCGAAACATGGGCACCTGGTTAATTAAGGGTTTCGCTATAATATTGCATGAGGATCAGACAAGATCTGCATTTTGGATAGTACCTTTCAACCTGGGTATTAATAAGGGAAGCCATTGCCCAAGCTACAGCTCATAGGATTTGTTATGGGCAAGAAGTGTGACCTTGAACTTGCCCTCACCGTACTTTATCTCGTACTCGAGGTCACTGAGTGGTGTGAAAAGATAAGATCTGGACTGGAATTTGGATACAAGCTTCCCGGAAACGAATGTATCATACGAGCTGCTGCAAGGGCAATGGCTTAGTTAAGTCGTTTTCAGTCGGCATCCACAGATGCGGTAGTTGTCTTTTTCCCGATCTCTGAGTTGGGCTCCGTTTTACCGTTGTGAAGCCCAGTCGAGCGATTTGCAAGCGTTTGAACGGTAAACATTGCCTGACAAGAGATGGGAAATCAATTATAGTTACACTCCATATACTAGATCTGCTAGAATAGTTTCTTCAACTCCTCAAAATTTCACTGAACGAAATTTTTTGCAGTATCTCCTGCTCACATCATCTGGACATTCGCTTGTGTCGCCTTCGATGTCAAGTCCATTGTCATCTACGGAGTCATATCGGCTAGCAGCCTCTCCTTCCTTTGTTGGCCTGTCTCCAACGCCACGAACAGACGGCAGTTCTTCAGATCTGCAGAAATCACCGGCATCGCTTTCGTCGGAAACGCAAGCCGAGGACGACGATAAGAAGCAGTACTACTGTAACATCTGCAAGAAGGACTTCAAACGGCCTGACATACTATCTCGGTACGTTTTTGCTCCGTATTTCACAAGGTTTTGCAACCTCCATTCACTTCCTTGATAACGGGCTCATTCTCGAAGTTATGTGCCGTCTAAAATGGTCAAACAACGTAATGAGTTTTTACATCACTTTTTGCGCTGCAGAGCACTCATATGACCTGACGATAAGCGTACGCCACCTACCCTTCTTATCGCATTATCTTTTCGATCACATGGAATTCGTGAAGACCAGT